AGTTATTAAATATGAGTTTCCAAATATTAAATAAAATTATTATTTTTTGAGACAAATAATATATTTTTGTATATACATATATTCGCAATCTATGTGCATATATATTTAATATATACAAAAGGTAATATAAGATTTTCATATATACTATATACATATGTACTTAGTTAAGCTACTAATATACCATTGCCTTGGTCAACACTCTTCCTCAATTTCGCTAAATAATATAATTTTTTCTGCGCACGAAATAAATACATGCGTCTCAGCACACACACAAGCTTTTGCACGCTGCTTCAGTTTTCGCTATTATTCAAGTAAATGGCAAATGAAGTTTTGCCAGCCAACGCTTCGACAGCAATTCTTTGTTTCGACGCTTTTGTTATTTTTGTATTTTTGCTTACTTTCTTTATTGCTTTTTCCTTTTAGCACTTCTACTGCCAGTGGTAATGGTGTGCCCCCAACCACCCGCTGTACCGCTTTCATCATCAATTCTTAGACAAGTTAGTGCCAGTGTTTGCATCCGATGTTGTTGTTGTTATTGTTGCAGTGCTGAAGTCGCTATCTACTGTTGCTGGTTTTTTACAGCGTTTGTGCGCTGTTTTCTTGTTGTTGGCAAACGAACGATGAACGGAACTAGGTCAGTGGCACACAAAAAAATTCAAATACACTCATTCAAATGGAATAAAAAGCAACACTCACATGCACATACTTGTTTATGTGTTTGTATGTCGATCGACACACATACGCATATATATTTATGCATGTGTGCATCTTAGCTCTTTCTATTATTATGGATATTTCTATTCTGTTTGCAATCAGCAACAACAACAACTAAATCAACTATGGGTACCACTTTTAAAATAGTTGTTGGCTATTACTACAGCTATTACTATCATTGTTCTTGTTATTACTAACTTTTTTTTCAACTCGGGCTTTTTTTTTTGTTGTAATTTCTCTACACTTACAAACGTGTTTTGCATTTTTAGTGGAATTTTTCAGCATACTAACATACATATGTATATACATAATGAAAACATATACATATATATATATTGCATATATAGTATGTACATACATATAAACGTAGATGTATATAGAATCATAAGAAGCTGTTGTTAGTTGCTGCTACTTTGAACATATTGCCGAAGTATGATGAAGAGAGATTGAGAGCAAGTTATGATAGAGAGGCACTTGAGCACAGTTGTAAAGAAGATCGCTATAAAAATTTTGTTGCTAATCCACAAAAGTGTGCTCAGCATTCCATAGATCATATCTATTAGCAAGTTTGGATCGTTTATAACATAGAAAAAATAAATGACCGTTTTGTCCAATATATTTTCATTGTTCGTGGGATTTTTATTAATTAATTAATTATTATTAATTTATTAATTTTATTAATTAATTAATTTTATAATGTTTGAATATTTTTCTAAATTTTAGATAACTTGAAGAGGAAATAAAAAAGGATATTTATTACAACAAAATTATTTAAAATTGTTTATAACAATATAAAATATATATTAATGTAGCATTAATGTAGAATAAATTGAACATAATTTGAAATAATATCACCGAAATTATAAGACTAGATGAATGATTAATATAAGTTCGCACTATATTTATTTTTCACAAATTACATGAGCAATTGGCACGAAACTCGGCGCCTAATTTGTACATATGTTTTTGATGTTTGCTTAGTTTAACGGAAGGTTACCAACGTCAGATTCCAAGTTTATATATTTTTCATAGAACAACACAAAGCCAATACTTCAAAATGGTCTGGTCTGTGAGGTCTCCTTAATCCTAACCGAAACGAACACGTGAATTTTTTTTTTAATATGGTGAATATGGAGATTGGTTTTCCGCTTCAACAAAAACTATAGCAATATACTTTATGCATGAAATTATGGAAATTGTATAGAATGATTATAGCGAACCTTTAACTTTTCCCCTTTTTGTGGTACGACTTATCGTTCGCTTCCCAATAGACCTCAGTTTTGGCGAACATCTTTTCGTTAGAAGAAAATATCTTCTCGAAGAGCAATCTTTTGAGTCAATAAAAAAGCAGACGCCATAACCTTGGCAGTCGAACTTTCTCACGTCCAAATGTTTTATATTTTTTGAATAACAGAATGTACAGGTTTAGTTGACATCTTCAGAGTGCTTGCTTTCTCGAACAATTTCAATTTACGGTCATTTAAAACTATTTTGTGGACATCAAAAAATGATTTCGTCGGTAACAAGCTTTTTTGGTGATTATTTCACCACGTCTAAAATTAACATACCAAGCTTTGATGGTTTGATTTTCCTGGGATAGTGTCCGGAAACTCCTCATCAAGCCAAGTTTTTGCATAAATTTTTTGCCTTTAAAAAATAATATTTAATTGGTTTTAAAGCTAAAGGTGCTCTTGGTTTTGTTAAACGTTGGTCTAAAGAATTTAGAGATCCGCTTACCACAAAAGTTCTTTTTACATCTTTGGTGAGGCCTATATTAGAGTATGCTTCCGTGGTATGGAACCTTTGTTATCAAGTTCTTTCTGAGAAAATAGAGTCCGTCCAGAAACAATTTTTACTTTTTGCCTTAAATCATTTGCATTGGGATTCCAGTTTAAATCTTCCCCCTAACACTAACCGTTTAAAACTTATAAATCTCGATACACTCGCTAGTCGTAGGGGTTGGTATAATATTTCTTGTAAAACTCATCAATGGGTCAGTCTGTAGCCCATCTCTCCTATCTGATATTAATTTTAACATTCCCGCTCGCTCTACCAGGCAGTTTGGAGCTTTACTTTTAAAATTTTCTAGAACAAATTTCGAGTTAAACAACCATTCCGCCGTATATGTCACGATTTCAATTCTCATTCCAGCACATTTGATCTAACAGATTCACTCTTTACCATTAAAAAAATTATTTTATCTACTCTTAACAAGTAACATTTAAAAATTATTAACTTTAATCTAATTCTTAGTTTTGGCTGTTGAAATTTTTGTTTCTGTAGCTGAGCAGCTTAAGATCGCAACGCTTAAAACTCCCTTGCCTTTTATGACTCGGCTAATTCCGCTCGTTCGCGGAGTGCGCCGCTCGCGTCTATTTGTATTATTTTTATTATTAATATTAACATGCGAAGTTCCTTTTTATCAATTTTTTCAAAAAACAAGAGTTGGTTCCCTCTAAATGATATAATTCACAAACTAATGATGCGATAGCTGTCAAATTTATACACGCACCTTTTGCAGATTTAGGCTAACTAAAAATCATATATTTAATTATGGTAGCGCCATCTATGTATGTATATATGCCAACCAGACCCTCAATTTGTGAGTTGCGCAAAAATTCAGACACGCATTTTTCTCCCTAAGAAGCTGCTCATTCGTCGGAACCGTCGATATCGAGTAAAGCTGCCATTTCGACCAATCTATTCTATTCTATGCATTCTATGCAAAAGTTTTTTCTTGTTTTTGCTTTAAAAATCAGTTTATACACAGAACATTTGGATGGCACTTCGACGACAAATACTTTATTTCGACCTTCTACTTGCTTAACTTTTAAATTTCTTGCGAAAGAAATTACAACAGTACGAAAGTATTTTCATTCCATATTCTACTTACCATTTTTTCGTTTAACAACTAACTAACTGAATTTTTTAAGCAAAAAATATTTATATTTCACAAATTTTAAGAAACAGTTTGCAACGCATTTTATATTTAATATAATTTCATTTAATTTAAGACTGCACTAAATATAATATAATAAACTATTTACATTTTTTAGTATTTATTTTTCTTTAATTTAGCAAAGAACTACTTAAGGGAAGAAGAGGTAAAGGTACCTAATTGCTTTTGTTGTTGGATAGAGGAATGGTGGGGTATACACATTTAAATAAATAATTGCACAAAAGTGTATAACTAAAAATAAACAATAAATATTTTACATTAATTTAATTTACATAAATTGTTTAACTGAGCAACTTTGCTTGTATTTGTGTGTGTGCGCTTATTGGTTACTTGTCTAGAGTTGCATAGGCTACATACTTACAGTACGACATATGCGTTTCATATTAAAAGTAAGTTACAAATTATAAATTAAGCCTAGTTAAAACTTAGTAGATATTAACTAAAATAAAGCATCATGGATTCAGCAATGTATTTTAATTATTTTTTTACAATATCAATTTGCATAACCTTACCAATATAAAATAATAATTTTTAACATATACATCGCTAAAATTTTAAAGAAAAAAATAAATGTTTAAACATTTTTAAGAAGTTTCGTTGAAATGAATCTGTCGAATTCAAGAAAACGCTTAACGCACCGCCAGGGCTGTTAGGATTGCAACAAATTTTCACAATTTTTTCATAAACAAAAACTTTTTTTTTAATATAAATAAATTTACTTTTTAAACAAATAATTTTTTATACAAAAATTTCACTAAAGTAATTCATTAAATTAATTTCGGCCGTTTATTGCAACTGCATTTACTTCGCTTATTAAACTCAGTACTTTATTGCATATTCGTTTGTACATTATTGCTTTTAAACTTATTTATATACGACTTTTTACTAAAATATTTTTTCATTACTTGAAAGTTTTTTTGTAATATTTTGTATTGTTAAATTAATTGTATGAAATAATTTTCCACTTTGAGGTACAATTTCTCTGCTCTCTTTTACGCCATATGCATGCTATATTTTACAAAATTCGCTGCACACAGTTTGTTTAAAATTACCGTTATACTAAAACAATTATATTTTTACATGCCGTTCTTTGAACTTAAATTTAAATAGAATTCAGAATTTCAAAATTTTACATAATTTTTGTTGTTTTTAGTTTAAGCCGAAATTTCCATTTATAAAAACAACAGTGTTCTTTTTTGTAATTATAACTGTATATGCGTAAATTATAGACAATTTCCGCAGCATTGTTTCGTTGGTAGAGCGCACACTTGCATCAAAACGGAACAACAGTTGCAAAAAGACAATTGGACGCTCCGTTGTTCTTACATTGCTTGTGCTCTCTTTGAGTTTTCGCTCGCTATAGTCACTCATTGACGTTGCTCTAAAATATAGGCCTAACGCTATTCACACGCTAACTGTATTTTTTAGTCAAGTTGCCAATGCCATTTCTTTGACGAATTCGGATTTGAGGATTTCCCATTTAAAAAAATAACAGATATTGCGTGAAACCATGATTAAAAGCGCTCAACTCAATCCTTGTTTCAATGTTCAAGCCAAAATATCTGTTGAAAGCTATATTATGTATTATATAATGTTAGCTTTGGAGTATACCAGAAAAGAACTTTAGGAAACATCTACCTTATTTCACTTTTTATTTTCACACAAATTGATTATGCAATATATTTTCCTAGTAATATGGATAAATAATAGAAACTGATGATAAATTAAACAAAAATCAAATTTAATATAAAAAGCTGTAAGCTTTCGAAAGATTTAATTATTTATCCGGTTAGCTCTCTGTTTCTACTCTATCTTCTTGTAAATTCAAATTTTAACATAAAAGTGCTTTAAGCTTTTCAAAGTTTATTTCTAAACAATAGTGAAAGCTGAAAAGAGTAATTATTACGTACATTCGTTAAAATATTGTTTCCACATTACGTATTTCAGGTTTTCCGAAATTGTATAAGGGAATGACGAGCTAAATGCCTTAATTTATTAAAACCATATTTTTAAAAGGCGCTAAAGCCTACATTGAGTAAAACTAAAGAGATCAAAAGCAATCAACAACAACGAATAACAAATATTGACTGCGTGTCTCGTATTCCAAAAGAGCCACATAAAATATACAATATTTTCAAAGTAAAAGTATTTTCGTTACTAACTAAACTACAAAAGGTTGTACTCTCATCCCATGGAATTTAAGTGGTTTTCAAATGTAGTCAAATTAATATACAGAAAATACTCACCACACTCTGTATAAGGGCATACATTTCGGAATTCGCAACACGCACTCGCTCATTGAAGGACATTGAATTGAGTAACACTAACAAAGAGGCATTGAGTAGTTGAGTGTAAGCTTAAAGCTCTCACTCAATTACCACCCTCACGCTCAGCGCAGTGATGGCAACATTTCAACGCCTTCAATGAACACTACGTCGCCTCCGCGAGTGTTGTTGTGTGGCGGAGTTGGTGTAGCTCTAATGTGGCTAGTTATCGGAGAAGCTCCGGCAATAGCCACAGAACAGCTAACCACTCTAATAGTAGCTTCAAAGTACTTGAATATATAGAGTATATTCAAATACGCGCTCTCGATACAAACGCGTACACGCACACACTTAGGACACTCTCAGATGCAACGATTTTGAAGATTTGGGCTTGAACGCTCGCATATTGGCGTGCATCATGACAACACTGCTCTGTTGTTCGTGATCCTCGCGCGCATCGTGTCAGTCACGCCCAATTCTCTTATGTATCTGTTGATGTTTGAGCAAGTGCGCCTTCTGTCGAAACGCTTTAGCGCAAACATCACAACGGAATGGTTTCTCCCCCGTATGCGTACGCAGGTGGACCTTGATGTTACTCTTATTGAGAAAACCCCGATTACATATACTACACCGATGCACGGGTTTCTCTTTCCCCAGCAGACCAGACAGATCGTTGGCGCTGAAGTTGACGGATGATGGTGAAATTGCATTGAGTTGTTGCGGTCCAAGTGCGCTACTGCTAGACTGTGCATTCGCTTGTTGTTGACTGGATTTCTTTTGGGAACGTGAAGGTTTCCTTTTCGGTGTACTAGTGGGTGTAATGGTCGTCGTGTGTGGATAATTGCCCAGCATGTCGGGACTGCAGAGACCATCGGATTTCATTGAAGACATGGAGACTTGGTACGGCTGTGGATTTGTGAGATAACGCGGATTTATCATCAGATTGTCCGTGGTCGAGACAACGGAACCTGGCGGACTCGAGGTGGATGTTGCTGTGGGCAACTCGTTACAGTATGAGGTAGAACTGGGCGCTTCACTTTTCATTGTGGCTGTATTTGCTTGTTGCGTGTGCTGTTGTTGTTGTGGTGGACCATTTTGTAGGCGATTCTGCAGGAAGGGCATGTAGCCGTGCGTGAGCAAATTCTGTAGCGTGGAGTTTGGATGCACGGGCGAGTGTGGCAAGATAAATTCACTAAGCGCATCCTGTTGCGACACAAGCAGTTTGCCATCTTGCTGTATGCAATTGCCATCGATCCACGCATCCAAGTCCATCCATGAGTCACGCGTGTCGTTACCATCATCCTTATCCAATTGATTGGGCACCGTTGTGTCTGCTATCGCCGAACCAATTATGGCCGCAATGTCATCTATCGAGTTCATATCTACATACTCGGACAGATCTTTGGCGTCGGTATAAATTCGTACACTACTGTGTAGCGAATCCGTGCCTTGGTCGCCACCGCCCACCATACCATTACCATTGTTGACTATGCCACCGCCAGCATCACCACCGCCGCCACCACCAATACCAGCCGTGCCACCTACAGACATAACACAACTATCGGCCATTGAGTACAGCTTACTATCTAATTGACTATCAGCGAACAGTTTCACATCGTTTAGGCAAGCGTCCGCGTCCGGACTCAGAACGCTTTCAGGCAAGCATGTAGACGAGGAAACTATGTTGTGATCGGCCGAAGAGCAATGACTGTTGGCACCACCACCGCCACCGCCACTCGACATCGATGGTAACGGTGATGTGCCCGACGTCGCCGCCGCCAGTTGTATGGTGGTCGTGCCATTGCCGGTCGTCGACGTGTGATTCGTCTGGTAGGCGCTTTGTATGTAATTGTTGTTACTCTCATCAGGTAGCCTCTGTGCGATCGCATGATAATGATGTCCCGAGATGCCATTTATGGACAAGTGCCCTGTATAGCCGGTGAACGGTGGTAGTGGTTTCAGGTCAGACAGCGCATTCAGGGAGGATGTATTCAAGAGCAGATTATCGAGCACATCTAGCGAATTTTTCTGTTCCGTGTCGCTGGGCAGCGAATCCAGATCGTGCTCCAGCAGTAATTTATGGCCATCAAGCAGATATTGATCTTGGCTGCCGTTCTGTGTTGGACCCCAGCATGGACTCATAAGTAAGCTTTCAACTTCAGATTCACTTGGTCCGTTCATGCTGCAAAACTTCATTGTATTTTACGGTGCATGCGAGTAATTTTTTTCCTTCCAGTTCTTATGAACGCAAGCCGATGACTGAGGAGGACTGGGTGTGGGTATCCAAAAATGCAGGTATAATTTTAGTATGACGGGTGCGCTGGTGGATGACTGGGGAGGACCATAAGTCGACGACAACAAAATATATTTGTGAATGTGTTAATTACTGGATCCCTATTGGTTAACTGGAAGTAGAGAAAAAGAAAAAAATAATAATAATAATAAAACAAAATGTTACCATTTACATATGCTTTGAAAGGATACGAACTAATTCAATAATGAGGCTAATATCAAACCACATCAGCTCACTTTTGTCTACACTCTTAAGGAATTACCATTATTTTACAAGAGGCTCCAGATAGAATTTTCTCAGTGCTTTTCTTCTCTGACCAATTTACTTATGTTTTTTATTAAGAACTCTTTTCAACGTTTCTATTCTTTGTCTACTCGATAGCCTAGCGAAATAGATCTCCGATGACTAACTTTATATAAAGGTTGAGAATTATGCTACAATTTATGAAAAAAGCAATACGAATAATAAATTAACTTCTGCAGCAAATAATGGACAATTGTCAGCGATAGGTAATTTTTAATAATTTTGATAATAGTGCCATCTAGGGCACCAATTATTTTTATTTTTAAAAGCTCTGTTATATTTAAAAAATAAATAACCGAGGAAGGCGTGTAATGTATGCTCCGACGAAATGCTTAATGAACAACTTCCTACTTAAGAAATATATAAATACTCGTATAATAACAAAAAAGATTAAGAAAATTCGACGACTATGAAATTGCTATATAAAAGCTTCCAATTCAGAGCATATTTTAGGTAATAGAATTTTAAAAACACCAACACTCACTTCTGTTTCGATTCTCTTTAAACGGAAAACTAGCTAAGAGCCTAATAAATATGCAGTAATTACTTAAAACGTCTCAACAACAGTTAAGCGGTTCTTTACAATGACATTAGGATGGAGAAACGGTTAGCTCATATCCGTCACTAAATCTAGTCATGTTAAGGATTTATATCACAGACTATTTATTCTATTATAAATAAGAACATATTCAAAGTCAGCCTCTTGAAATACCAGTAACACCAAAATTCTTGCTCTAATACGCCGTCAACCCTTTAGAAACATGGTAAATAAATATAAAAACTTAGGAATAACGTACTGGGGAAGCTTGCTAGGCGAATAATTTGAATTTCTTGCACTGCCTAAGAATTAAGTAGGCTGTGTACTACATTTTACTCGGTGTCAAATATAAAATAAATATACCGTTACAATTAGCGGAACTTAAATACGACATCATAATGAAATGTTTACTTCACTTGGAATTAGTATTTGTGATTTCTGGCTCATCAAAGGTAAATTGTATGGCATAATGGAGGAAATCGAATTTTTTCATAAGTGTTCAACTATTACTTCATAGATTCCAGAGTTTTTTTTTTTGAAGCTTTATCGAGATACCAACCAACAATGATAAATATACTTTTTAGGAAATAGGTAAAAAATCAGACATTTCAAAGAAAACCCAAAGTGCTATTGCGGCACTTTTAAAAGATAAAAGTACACCCTAAAGAAAAATAATTAAAAACAAGAAAAAACGTTAACTTCGGTTGCACCGAAGCTAAATACCCTTCACAGCTGCACCTCTGTTAGTAACTATGTGTTCAGTTTGTATGGGAACTTATAGTAATCCGTTCTGAACAATTTTTATGGAGATTATATTGTTACCTTAAGCAGTAATCCATGCCAAATTTCGTGAAGATACCACGTCAAATGACAAAGTTTTCCATACAGTCCCTTGATTCCTATCGTTGGGTTTGTATGGCAGCTCTATGCTATAGTGAGCCGATCTGAATAATTTATTTTGATATTACATTATCTCTATAAAAAATAACTCATACCAAATTTCGTGAAGATATATCGTCAAATGAGGAAGTTTCCCATGCAAGCATTGAAGTCGATCATTCAGTTTGTATGGCAGCTATATGCTATAGTAATCCGATCTGAATAATTTTTTCGGAGATTACAGTTTTGCTTTAGAAAATAACTTGGGCCAACTTTTGTGGAAATACATTGTGAAATGTGCAAATTTTCCATACAAGAACTTGATTCCGATCGTTCAGTTTGTATGGCAGCTATATGTTATAGTGGTTCGATATCGTCAGTTCCGACAAATGAGCAGCTTCTTGAAGAGAAAATGTCGTTTACAGAATTTGTATAAATACAGACAGACGGTTAGACAGATAGACAGACAAACGGACATGGCTAATCGACTCAGCATACTGATCATTTATATATATACTTTATAAGGTCTCCGACTTTTCCTTCTGGGTGTTACAAACTTCGTGACAAACTTAATATACCCTGTTCAGGGTATAAAAATGTAGTGAGTGCAACTACTGTTACTCGAGTAGCAAAAATTGTGCGCACATTCAAATATTACACCGTTGGTCGCACAAGTATGCGGCGAAATGCTGCCCAAAATGGGTAAACTGCCTGAGAGCATTCGACGTAAAGTAGTGAGGTTCGCTCTGTAATCGCGCAGCAAACCAGCTAGAGAAATTTAAAGGAAGCTAAATTATGACCATGTAAAAATACCGTAAAGAACAGTTGAACGCATTTTTTTCAGAAAAAAAAAATAAAAATCCCCGCACAGCAAAGAAATCAAAATTGACCAAGGGAACGAAAAATCAACGAGTAGTAAGGGTCAAAGTCCATCAGAACTACACAAGTTATGAACGTTCCCCGAAAGTCCCCCACTCAAAGTTACAATGCTATTTAACATGATTTTCTCCTAATAAAGGTTAACTTTAGCAAAGAATGCTGGCTAGAAGCATTGACAGAGACAATTCAATTTGTGCGACGTAGACCGTGTGACCGTTATGTGGAGAACTGCATTCAAAAAACGGTAAAATATCCAACACCTCCCGACGAACAACTGATGTCCTTCACAACTTTAATATCAATAAATTACCTTAGGCGGGCATGTCACCCGACCTAAACCCCCGAATACCCGAAAAAATTCTACAACAGCCCCACTCAAAGATAATATTAAGGATGTGTGCCTAAATGATCCAGATATAAAAATAGTGATAATATTTGTTTGAATAATATGCCGCAAATAGTAAAGGCTGTTAATAAAAATAAAGGTTTGTCAATCAAATACTAAAAAAATTTAAATTTTTCTCAATTTTATGAAAAGATGATATTTCAGATAAATATCATAAAAAAATTGCATTCAGATATCCGAATAATTTTTGGTTTATGTGACTCTGAACGCAAAACTATATGAATAATTGTCAGTGTTTCTAATGGCTTGGCGGGGTACTGTATGCATGCATATATTTATATATATGAATGTGTATATTAGGGCGCTGTAAACATTTATTTTTCTAATTGTTCAAACTCTTAATTTTTTCAGTGTTTGAAACTTGAAAAAATTTAGCAATTTTTAAATATCTGTAACTACTATTCCTGTAAAGAAAACATACTTTATCTTAGAGCCTGGTAGAGCTAAAGGTATTAACTTTAAGAATATAAAATGGGTTTTGGTAAAAATTTCGTCAATTGTGAGGAAATTCCATTTTAGAAAAAAAAATTTCCTTGTATATGTGAAACTAGAGTAAAATAGCAACCCCTTAAAGTTGAGCTATTGAACTCATGTTTGGTGAAGAATTTTTTACAACAAATAAAATCATTTGAGCAAGTAAGAATTGAAGAAAAGTTAMAAAAAAGTTTTAAGCACCCTTTTGTACAAGTATATAGACAAAGATAAATGCATTTCTCTCAGGTGTTTGCAGCGATATAACAGCGTCAGCATCAGCAACAGTAACAGTAACACTAACAGCGTGAGCAACAAAAGTCGTACAAATACCAACAGATGCTACAGCGGAAACAACAAATATGTAACTTCAATGCGGTATTTGGGTTAAAACATTAATATTCTTCAGAATTAGCATACAAACAGCTTAGAAAATCCTCGCTTAATTTATACAAGCATTTGTAGATGCATATAATCATGTATATGGTATTTGTACATGAGACGTATTGGGATCAAATAAATTACAGGAACAAAATCCAAAAATAGTAGTATATATTAAGATCAGCAATTAAGGCAAGAACATAATTTTGTCAATAATTACAGTAACGGCAACAAAGTGAAGTTAATTTTAAATAAAACAGATTAGACCATACAGCAAGATATATAAATAGAAAATCAGCTAACTAAAAACAAACCAAAAATACACAAAAGAACAAAAAATAATCGCCCAACGAAAGCAAAGACCGCTACGAAACAGTGCTAACGGTAGCTGGAGTAAATTTTAAGCGCTCAACGGCAGTCGGGGTCATGTAGGTAAGCCTTAAGGGCAGATGACTTCAAGTAGGTTCAAAGTTGCTGCTTCTAAGAGAAGCTGGGAAATTAGTTTTTTCAGCTTAAGCTGTTGTGCGAGAACTTATATTATTTTTTTGTATACAAACATATTACATATTATATATATATATAAGTGTGTGTATGTTATACTTTAAAAACAAAGAGAAGAGGAATTTGGCCCAGCAAAATTGCTAAGCCACAATGTTATATAAAAGTATGTGTATATACATATATATATATATGTAAATTCCTGAGTATGTATGCGTGTATAACCAATTTCTATGCTGACATACATACATACACACACTTACAAGTCTGCTTATAGTTTTAAGCTGTTGAATCACCATCAACCATTACCACTAATAATCGGTGGATTAACAATGAACAATACATTTCAGTTTGACAGGTGGTTGGACAAGTGTTTGAGCATATCAGAAAATCAAAAGCGGCTTTAACAAAAGCGAGAAAGCCAAAGCAATGCCAAAAGCTTCAAAAACCTCCGAAAACTACACGAAGTCAGAAGAAAGCGTGGAAAGAAATGTGAAGAATACTTTAAGCGAAAACGTTATTTGAACAGGTAAAAAAACAGTTGAGCCTTGTGTACATTTACACGTTTACAGTTATGCACTTTCATGCTTTAGACCTGCTTTACTGAACTTTTTTTTGGGGTTTGGCAAGTAAAAATATGTTCAAAAAGTAGGTGTGTTTATTCTTGAAGTTGTTTTTGTTGTTTATATTTTGTGCGCGTTTAAGTGGACTGATGGGCGTTTGGAAAGACGGGTGATGTAGGTACAAAATATTCAAA